CCTTTTGCTCCTCAATCCATCTGCCACAGTCCTCCCCTTTGGGGAAGGTGCAAGGGGATTGCAGTCTTTCCATCCCTCTACTTCACATCTCCTATTTCATCCCACTACATACATCACGTGCATTATAATTAGCCCATTTTCTATTCATAGCCTGTGAGTTGCTATTATTCATCAACCTATAACGCCTTCGGGCTTAGAACTACAAGTTCACTAGTTTGCCCCTCTGACTTCAACTTGCTCTACAACCCCTGTCTCATAAAACTCCTAGGAGGGTGAGATAGGAAGTAGCACGCTTTCTTTCAAGCCAATTATCTTTTTCTCCCCTCCACATTCCTTCAGGGAGGCTTCCAGACTTGGTTATGGGCTTCTCTGTTTCTCAGTCACTGAGTTACTTCCTTCAGAAGCGTCTTCAGTTGTGGTCTTGAGAGCTGAAACAACTCTGCTCCCTGAACACTTTAATCTTCAGAGCCAAAGCGAGTGCCCTCCCTGAGTGCCTTTATCTCTGGAGTTACAGGTGTGCCGGCCAAGGCTAGGTTAGAGAAAGCAATACTGCGGTAGACAGTGACCGGGTCGAGCGCGCACGCAGATGACAGAGAGTGGGGCTGGCTCGTCGGTCGCTGGCTTAGATTCTGTGTCCCCGAACAACGGAATGAATATTGGTGCAACACAACTGCCATCCTATAGGGACACACTGGGGGAGTCCTTGGCCACCCCCCTTCCACCTCTGAGAAGAAACCCCTCCACAAACTGAGATGGGTTTAGAGCAACACTCCTCATTTCAGGCTCCCCGGTGAGTTGCTTCTTGCAGCTGAGGAAGTTCCCTGCGGCTGCCAGTGCCTTTTGCCAGCTCTGACATGTATAATTGGAAGAATTACGCCCTGAAGCGGCAGGATGGGGAGTTTTTCCAGTCTCTCTTTTTGACACACAACCCAGCCTGGGCGGGTTGCTAGAGCACCCAGAACGTTTTCCTCACCCCAGAGGAGAGAGGATTAGTGCGAAGCCAAGGCCTGGAATTGGCGAAAGCGCACTTGCTTTTATATTGTTGCATTTCACATCTTTGTATTACATTTTATCATTATGTAGCTTGTTGCCAGAACTTCATAATGATGATGTTGCCTAGATTCTTCCTTGTCCTAACTGCCAGCACAGTATAACCCTGACACCCTGGAGCCATAACACGAGCCACAATGGGCTTCCGGTTGCAGCAGGGGGCACATTCTTTATGTAATCAACATAACATTGACATATGTTGATGTTACCCAGGCTTGGGACCTGGGTATCTAAAGGAGCGCCTGTGTCCATACTTGCCCTTCCGCCCCCTACGATCGGCAGCAGATAACCTTCTCCGGGAACCCTCCGTGAAGGATATTAGGAGGGTGGGTACCCGGAGGAGGGCCTTCTCTGTGGTGGCGCCCCACTTATGGAATGCGCTCCCTAGAGAGGTCCGCTTGGCGCCGTCGTTATTTGTTTTTCGGCACCAGGCCGAGACCTTTTTATTTAAACGTTATTTTAATTAATTGTTAATTTATTTATTGGTTTTATTTATTGCCTGGATGTGTCCAATTTTTATATTTTTATATTGTTATTTATTTGTTGGAAACCGCCCCGAGACGTATGCGAATGGGGCGGCATACAAGTTTCCCAAATAAATAAATAAAATAATAAAAATAAACATCTCACAATGGCCTCGAACTAACTTTTGATGGACCAGCCAGGACTGGTTGAGTCACCCTGAAAGTTGCCAAGTGCTTTGTTGATCATAGGGAATAGACCAGGCCGGGCTGGCATGAATAACAGGATGATAAGAGACAGGCACAGGAGAAGAAAGGGGGCCTCTGAACTGGGCAGTAGAGCAATGCATTGAATATGTATCGGGTAACCTGGTTGCTTGTGTAGGTATATCATGCTTATTTTGGGGAGAGACACCTTGTTTGTCTCCGCTTTCTTCAGTAAACTGAAATAAAGCGTACACTTTGTTCATAGTCTCGTCTCCAGACTCTTAATTGGGACCCCTTCGGTTGTCTGCCTGTCGGGCCGGAAAGTCCAGTGACAAATTAATGGCTTTAATTGTTCTGAATCATCTGGAAGAGTCTCAGTTGTTGGAGTGTAGCAATGTAATCAACATAAACATGAATACTGTCTGTTTGAATACTGGAAAAACGGGATAATGACCCACAATACAAGCAGCAGCTAGAAGTTCATGGAGGTAGCCAGGAAGTTCACAGGCAAGGGCAGGGATGGTGAGGAAAGACTTCAATGGATCCCGGAAAGAAAAACCGCACAAGTGGTTGTAACTTATGGTTGTTGGTGGTCTTTTGCAAGTCTGCTCTTACAGCTGTCTATTATTGGTATTTCTGCCCTGCCAATTTCTTGTCTGTTTCTGCTGTCAAAGGGTGCCTGGAAGTAGAATTGGTAACAGAGAAAGAAACTGACAAGGCAAAAAGGCGTCTTAGCTCAGTTGTTCATGCGTGCTTGAGACCATCTGCAAATTTGTCAATTTAAAGGGGGGAAAGTAGGGGTAAAGGAAGGCATATCAAAAGCAAGGGCACAGTTTCTTCCCACAGTGGCGTGATCCTCTGGAAGGACCGCACTGATCACCTCCAGCACTGTCCTTTCCAACATGGCCCCAAGCCTCTGGCTCCTCCAGAGGGGGAGATAGGCGCTTCCCACCCTGTTTGCGACTTCTTTCACTTACTGCTCTGGTTACTGTAGTTCCCCAGCTGTTCTACTCAGTCCAAGAATGATGCAAATTTAGCAGCTGGGAAGTAAGTGGAAGGAAAAATTGATGCAAAGATGCCGGCCATTGCTAAGAGTTCGTGACCTTTGATTATGAGGGGAAGGCGGCTGGGGAGTGGGCGAAGGCGGTCTGCTTTATGTTTGACGCATCAGGGTGCCTCTTCCCTTGTGCTTTGCTCAAGCATAGATAAGCAAAGGAATCCAGCACAGGCCTCTGTGTCTGCAGGGCTCTCTTTGCAACTCTGAGATCAGGGAAGTGGGGAACTTGCAGCAGGAGTGAAGGACGATCTCACATCCTTCCCTTTTGGTTTGCAGCGGAATTGACCGTTTGCACACTTCCGATTATGAGCACCCACACGGATGTCAGATTTGTCCACTCAGCACAAGACAAGTGTGTGGGCTTTGCGGTTACAATGAAAGTGGTGTTGCTGGACTTCTGGGCTCAACCACTACAACCAGAGCATCAAAAGAGCCAGTGTGGTGTTGTGGTGAAGAGGCTGGGACTGGGACTCAGACGATCTGGGTTCTAGTCCCCGCTCAGCCATGGAGCCAACTGGGTGGCTTTGGGCAAGTCATAGACTCTCAGCCCAGCCTACCTCACAGGGTTGTTGTTGTGGGGATAAGATGGAGGAGAATGATGTAAGCTGCCTTGAGCCCTTTGTAGGAAAAAAGATATAAATTGATCGATCGATCAATCAGTAAATAAAAGAACCGTTCACTTGTGCATCCATTGCTTGTACAAATTGACAAGGCAATCGCTCCGGGGGTGGGGGGCAGGTTAGCAAAATTCCCTCTGAGCAGGGCCCCCCCCCCCCTTTCACTATCACTGCTACCTGCCTGCCTGCGTTCCCGTGAGGGTTGTTCCCGGCCCCTTTGCCTGGAGGACTTTAAACTGAAGGTGCCTGGGGCCGGGGCCTTCTGAGGGCAAACAGCTGGGGCTCGTCGTAGCGGAAGGCTCCCCGGCACACTCAGGACTGGGCCCGCTCCCTGCGGCTCAGCGCTCAGGCACCCGTGGCTCACAGTGCTGCGTGCCAGTATTTTACAGTAGACTTGACACTTCACAGTCCTTCCCACTGTACACCATTTGGCGTCTGTGGACTTTTCCACCTTTGTGTCGACAAAAATGATCGCCTCACTTGCTGCTCTAAAGACTGCCCCAGTCTTCTTGACTTCTGCTTTCTGCTTGCCCAGGAAAGGGTGTGCAAGAAACACTGGCAAGTTAGACAGCCCTTGTGTTTTCAAAATCAGAATCCAGTCCTTGCTTCTTTGGCCCAGAACACCAACTGGTTCCCAGCTCAGTCCTGATGTGTCCAGAAGTCTCCATCATAATGTGTTTTGCCTGAGCTGAGCTGCCTGGGTAGCTTGTTAACAGGAATCTGTTAATCAGTCCTGCCTGTTCCCCTCCAAGGGGCAGGCTCGTTTGTGGCAGAGGCCATTTGCAGTGCTGTGACTGCGGCCAAAACATTTTCCACATTCTTCATGCATGTATGGTGATCCAAGGTGCAGAATTTCCCTGTGAAGGAGGTCCTTGCAGCGGGAGGGAAGCCACCCCCAAAGTCAGCGCGTGAAGCAGCGGCAGGGCCAGCCGCGCTCCAGACCACTCTGCCGCATTTTGTCCCAGGGCCCCCGCCCCGTGTGGGGATGAAACCCCTTGCTCCTGGGCTGATGCTCGTGCCCAGGGACGTGCGCAGAACGGGCAGGGCGTGTCGACAGGGGGAGGAGGCGCTGGTCCCTGTCTCTTCTGCCACGGTTGGGGCGTCGCGAGCAGAGTGGGGAGCAGCTTGCGTAGAGTGGGCTGTGCCCTGCACCTGGCTGCCAGAGGCCAAGCCGTCCCCTTCCCTTTTGTGAGCAACCTGGCTTGTCTCCCCCCAGAGTTGGTCATCCCCTGCCGTGCCCCCTCCTGGACTTGCGCCTGGTGCTCTCCAGCCGCCCATATGGCAACCCAGGCAGTCGACTGGGTGCTCCACTTCCGCGGCCGGATGCCGGCCATGCCCTGCTCAAGAAACGGGCTTGGAGAGGGTTATAGGCACACCCTTCCAGTCTGCAGCCATCCGGTTCCTCTTTCATGCCTGAGACAATCTGCACGGTTTTCTGACTTGGCAAAAATCGGGCCCCTTATGGCATCACTTCTCTGCTACGCAGCGCCACTTCTATTCCGGGGAAGCCTCTGCCCTCCCCTTCACTCTGCGGGCATAAAAAGGAGGGTCACAGCCCGGGACTCGGTGCAGAACAGAGGAGGGTTTGCCTCGGACACCCCTTGCCTGCTCTGCCTGCAGCCAGCCCAGCGGCCAGCCCTGCCACTCCGCGCCCAGCAGCCATGACGCCGTCCACAGCTGCGCTCGCACTGCTTCTGCTCGCAGCTGCCGCCTGCCCCCAGAGCCAAGGCCAGCACAGTAAGTCCGGCTGGCCTGGCCCTTGGCGGCTGCCCCTGCATCACCCCCAGGGCCCAGTGGGCAGCAGGCCAGGCACACCTGTGGCTTCTGCCTTGGGCAACGGCCGTTCCAAGGCAAACTGGCATCACCTGCTGAAGGCGACACCGGGGACGTCACTCCAGAGCATTGACCTGGGTGGATGGGACGCCCGAAGCCACACCTGGGCAGAGTGCACGAGCAAGCACAAGTGGGCGTGCCAGACGGCAACCCTTTTCTGGCTTGCCTGACATGAGCCAGGGTCCAGAGCAGCTCTCCAGATAAGCTACAGCAGCAGGGCCTGAAATTTAGGAAAAGCGCAAGGGAGGGAAACAGGCAAGAGGCGTACAAGTGGAGACGCCTGGGGTGACGGAAGTTGTCACAGGGAAACCTTTACCTTTACTTTACATGCTAGTTAAGAGGATCAAAACACACACCCCAGGACAATTGTGGGATTGCAGATCTGGAGACTCCCAGCCTTTCTGTAAAATTCTGGGCTTCACCCTTGCAAGTGAAAGGGCAAAGCCGAGGCCCTGCCAGGTAAGGTCGAGTTGGGGCCTTGGTCCAGGCTCCCACGGGCCACAAGGAGGATCCCTCTGGCTCAGGCGGGAAGAGTGGAGATCTGCTACAATCCTGAGACCCACAGGGAGGACCCATGAAGATGCCTGCTACTAACTCACCCTGACCAGTCCAGAAAATGACACTAAGCCCTGCTGTTCCCTCCCAGATCCCAGCTTCTGCTGCTTTGAATTCATAACCAAAGAAATTCCACTGAGGAAACTGCGATCCTATGAATTCACCAATTTCCAGTGTGCCAAGTCAGCTGTTGTGTAAGTATTGCATTATTGTGATTGTTGTTATTTTCTGTGTCCAGTAGAGATGTGAAGAACATTCCTTTGCCCCCTCCAGCCTGATGGGATGCAGGTGGCAAAGCACCTTTCCCCAATCTGGTGCTTTCCAGGTTGCAACTGGCTGGGAAGGCGGGAACTGCAGTCTAATGTATCTGTGAATACCAACTTGGGGGAGTGGCTGCTGAGCTGGTCTGTGCAATAAAATGCTAGGAAGGGTTTCCTGGAGGAAAGCTGCATGGCACAAAACTGGGAGAGGCCTTCGAAGAAGAGCACCAGTTGAGAAAACTGTCCACTTTTAGGTTTGACTAGCAACTTGCCTCCTTTGCAGATTAATCTTGAAAAACAATCAGCGGCGCTGTGCGGACCCACAAGCAACGTGGGTGAAAAGGCGTCTGCAACACCTCCCACCAAACTGACGACTTGCCACCTCACCGGAAGAGGAATGGGGAGCCTGAGGCTTGTCCTGACAAAGGCACTTGATAATTTAATTGTTTATTCTATCCTGTAACAGATAATATATTCTATTTAAGTTATGTCTGACTATTTTAAGGAATTTTGTATTTTTATTATATTAAAGGGGAACTTAGATTGTGTAAGATTTCAGAGAAACCTGAAGCATGAAGAATAAATCTTAGCAAACAAGAACCCTTGTGTGCCTCGGACTGTGTCAAGTGCAAGCCCCCTTTGAAGGGCAGCTTCTGTCATCGCTTCCTGGGTGTAGCTGCCATGATGCGGCATGGAGAGAAGGGGGGGTGGTCCCCAGCCCTCTTGCCTTCCTGGCACACGTGCTTCCTGCAGGCTTGGCGATGTGCACGGCTGGCCGTTTTGCAGGGAAGCCCGGGCAAGCTTCCTCCTCCCCTTCCAAGAATGCTTCCCTGCCTCTCACGTTTCTTCAAATGCCACACATGCTTTTATGGGCTTTTCTGACTGAAGCAAGCATGCAGAAGCCTTCCGCCCCACTGAGAAGCAAAGTGAGCTGCACGGGTCCTTCTTCCAGGCTTGTCTCCTGTGCTCACAATGTCTCGTCTGTCATCATTTCAAACCTGCAAAGGCTGGGCTGGAGAACCGAGGCTAGTGAAGCCAAGTACCCCTATCAAGGGCTCCCAGCTCTGGACATTAACCACATGTGACCCTCTCCAGGGAAGAAACAAGGGTGGGTCGCTCTGCCCAGATCAAAATGGGACTGGTCTAGTTGGCCCCAAGGACGGAGGAGAGCAGTGGAGGCCTCTGTGAACCAAGGCCTGGCACAGCCCGTTTTCCTTGACAGGGGAGCCAAAGCCAGCCCGTGTGGCCTGCACAGGAGGCCCAGAGAGAGGCAGGGCCCCCGGGAGAGCTTGAATGGTGTGGCCCCTTTGGGCAAGATGCTGATGCACCCCTTGGAAGGCGCTGCCTCCCAGCCACCACACTCCGCCTCTGGCCACACCGCCCTGCCTTCCTCCCAAGAGCAGAGCCTCCAGCATTTTCTCTAGGGACGTGTGGGCGCTGCAACAGCCCCCTCCGCCCGCACCCAGGCACAGGACGGGGCATGCGCGAGGCGGAGGGAAGGCCCGAGCCTGCCAGCCCAAAGCCCTCCGCCAGCGCCTCCGTCATTGCTCCTCGACGGCTCTTTTGGCATCGGGGAAAAGAGGAAGGAGGGGTGGCAGAAGGAGGACTGCCCGCGGAGGAGGAGGACACTGTCGGGTCCCTTGCACAATCCCACGATCCGACGGGGGGCACGACCGCACCACACAAGCCTGGACTCAGGAGGAGGAGGAGGAGCTCAGCATCTCTGGCTGTGAATTCGGTGGCCCCCGGCCATGCTGATTTGGTGAGTGCCTGCAAGCTGCCGGGACAGGCGCTCCCTTCCCAGCAGCGGCACTGGCCAAAGCCAGCAGTGCAGAAGCCGCGCAGAACAAGGCCAAGGGGCTCTTTGTGGCACCCGGGAAGGGCAGCTGCTGGAAACGGGAGGTGGGCCCACCTGAGTGGAACTGTCAGAGGCAGCCACAGGCGAACTGCCAGCTATGGAGGGCAGGGCCAGCCGCGTGGGAAGAGGCTCGAGAGCGTGCGGCAAAGAAGATTTAAAGAGGCAGAGGCAGAAGTTGCTAGGGGAAAAAAATCCTCCCAGTCATGCGTAGTGATCAGGGAGTGGGTAGAGGTGAGGCAGGAGAAAGCAAGCTTGAGTAAGAAAACTTAATTTTATTTTTTTTAATTGGGGAAAAAAGTTAGTAGAGGGGGAAAAAAAACTGATGCAGAAGCTGATCCAATCAGGCAGTGCAGCAACTAGCGTGGTAGGAAAGAAACTGAGGAAGTGTGGGAGGGAGCCCCCCCTTATCCTGGGTCCTGGAAGGGGTGGGGGGGCTCCTGCCCACTTCATGATGTGCTATGGAAATCTCTCTCCGATCAAAGCCTTGCGCTATGCGGCAAACCCACACGTGATGCAGAGACCACGACGAAGACTCGAAATAAACACAAAAATGATAAACCCGAGGAACGTATGGAGGGCCGTACAGCAGGCAGTCCTGGGGCCACCTGTACTGTCTTGCTAAAATCCAGTGTCAGGTTCCCCAGATCTGGGCCAGGAAGGGGTTGTGGGAAGCAGGTGGCGCCGCTGCTCCAGGCCCTTGGAGCCCCTCTGGGTCCACTCTGAAAGGCTCGTCATGCCCCCCTCAGCGCCTGCTTCGCTCCCCTCAGCACTCCTGCCCTCCCCATGGCTGGGAGTGGGGCTGCGCAGAGGGTGACTAGGGAGCAGTGCTGCAGGAAGCCCATAGCTGCTCTGTCTGGGGGAGATCTCCGAGCTCGGCCACCTGCGTACGGCCCGGAGCAGAGAGCAGGCTTCCTTCTGGCCACTCACCTGGCTAACATGCCTTGCAAAGCGCTTGTGGCGGCTCCTGTCTGAGGCTGGGTGAGGACGTGGGGGGCCAGCCAGGTGCACTCAGCCGTGGTCACACCTGCAGAAGGGCAGGTGCCCAGTGAGGGCGTCCGGAGGACAAAGACCAGCCCAGCCCACAGCAGAGTTCTAACCCAGATTGCGGTGGGAGGACACCCGCCGTTTCCTCCAAAGTAGACCGCTGCGAGTCGCCCCTCCTGGGTGACCTGAGCACTCCTCCTCCCCTTGGCGAGATGAGGCACCCCCTGGACACTCATCCTGGGGCAGAAGGGGATAGTTTTGCAGGTGGAGGGCCAGAGGGGCATTTTTCCAAATGAAGGGCTAAAGGTGAGGAGCCCCAGGAGAAGAGATCGCTTAAAGACCTCTCCCTCTTTCACAGACCTCTAGAACACTGACAACATGGGTCAACAGCAGAGAGAACAAGAGGCCCTTCCTGCGTTCACACAACGCTCTGATACAGTGGGACGCTTGTGGTGCTTCTGGCTCTTTGATGGCCGGACTGGTGTGAACAAACTCCCCACTGAGCCTGTGGCCAGCTGAGACTGCTGCACATGCCCAGAAGCGGCACGGCCTGATCACCGAGGCTACGGAGGCCGCAGCACACACTGGGTAGGGCTTACATGGTTCTCAGAAAGGGAAGCTGCGCAAGGAAACGGGGGCTGCCTGAGCACACCAAGCACATGGTGCTTCCGACGCAAGCAGGGCGAGTTCCGCTGTGCAGATGGATCAAAGAGGGGGGGAATGGACTGGGCATCCCGGGCCTGCCTGGGTGATGCACTGCACAGGCCACTTTCTGCCAGGGAGCAGCACCGTGACCAGGCTCTGTGATCCAACAGCACATGATGTGCAGAGTTCGCCACTGGCCCGAACTTGTCCCACCAGGCCCCAACTGCCGGCTCCCTTGCCAGAGGCCGCATGCCGGCGTGCACCAGCTGCTGAGATGCTTGGGCAGACAGAGGACTTGCACCCATCCTGCCCGAGGGACCCCCTGGCCACCGGCTTGCCACCGTGTGAGTAGAGTGCTGGACAGGATGGGCCAGCATGGCTGCTTTTATGGTCCTCTCTGAGCTGTGGGCTTCTCATGGCTTTGGGGCCCACTGTGGGGAACACGACTGCCTCTGGAACTGGCTCAAGGCCCGAGCACGGTCCTCAGATGAGGGAGCCAGAGGATGCCCCTCCCGGGCCGCCCAGGGGTGTCCTTGCAGAGTGTGCCCGCAGGCCTGCTGGTGGGGACCTGACGGGGAAGGGCACCATGCGCAGGTGCATACTCCCCCCCAGTACTTGAGATCCATATTAAGACAGAAAGGGCAATGCGTGACTCTCACGGCCCGAAGCACTGGACACAGCGGCACAGTCAACCACGCCACACAAGCCACACGTGTGCGCGCACCGTCAGCGCGCCGGATCAGAGGTCTCCGCAGGACAGCAGGGGAGATGCACAGGGGCACATGTCACGACATGGTTTATCCAACAGCTTGCTCCACCATGGTTTGCTTTTCCACAGGAACAAGAGCAAAAAATGCAGCCGTCCATCAGCTTGAAGATGGCAGAGGCACCTTAAATCCACCCTCTGCCCTTTACAAAGGCTTCTCCTTCTGCTCCCTTCCCAAGAGAGCCCCGTTCTCTTTCTCCAGCGACTTGCCATTTAGTCCCTGTCTCTGCTGGTGTGCCTCGCACAAACGCCAACGGGCAAGGGCTTCCCCGGTGAGAGCCTCTGGCACAGAGGTCCAGCGAAAGGGTCTCGGGGCGAAGGGCCCAAAAGGTGCCTTCTCTGCCCACCTGCTGGGCTTCCGCTTCGTTCCTGCCTGAACGTCTCTCCCGAGCACGGCAGACACCACCCCTGCACTGCGGCGGCAGGAGCCTGGCCTCTTCCTTCGAGGAAGGAGGGGGGACAGCTGGTGTGTCCCTCGCCCTGTCTTCTCTCTCCGGCTCAGTGCACCATTCAAAAGCAGAGCAAGCATTGAGAGACAAGCACCTTTGGCTGCCCAGCCCTGCGCCCTCCGGTGGCCACCACCGGTACGCTTCGTTCGCGCTGCTCTCAGAGTCTCACAAGTGGATACAAACGAGGGGAACAAACGGGGAGTTCGCCCCAGAAGACAGGCCCCGCAAGGGGTGCAGCAGCCCTGGCCTTGCTGCCGTTGCCCTGGAGCCCAAGGCTGCCCGACGAGCCTCAAAGGGCAGTGGTGCCCCACTCGGGGATGAGCAAACCACTTAGCAAGCCTGCTAGGGGATGGACTCGAACTTATGGACCCCCCCTCGCACCCAGGCGAAGGGGAGTGGGTGCCGGTCGTGGTCCTTGTCCGATTCGGGCTGGCTCTGGGCCCGCTCTGGCTTGGGGGCGATGGTGGGTGGGTCGGACTGCTGCACGGACATCGTCCTCCGGAGGTGGTTGCGCTTGCGCAGGAAGTCAGGCTGGGAGTGCAGGCCAAAACTGCCTTTCCGCAGGATCATGCGGGAGTTGTTCTTCTTTGGCCGCGAGTGCAAGCTGGACTCCAGCGAGGCCAAGTGCGCGGCATAGCCCTCGCTGAGGAACTGCCACCCGGAAGGAAGGAAGGAAGGAAGGAAGGAAGGAAGGAAGGTGGGTGAGAAGCCAGAGAAATACGGCGACAATATGGTGCCCTGAGATGCGGCTCGCTGGAAGGTGCAATCGTGCATGGTCCAGCCCAGTGGTGTGTAGGTCCCAAGCACCCGCAGTTTTCTCTGCAACTGGACTTCCATTCTTCTAAGTGAGGTAGTACAGTATTTGTTCACAGTCGGCAAGGGCCACTTTGGGTCTTCCATGGCTGCAGACGCCGACCCACCTGCTGACGCCACCACTGCCCCGACGGACAGACGGCGGCCACTGCGGGATCAGGGACCGGGATGCTGCCGGCTCGCAGGCCCTCCATCTTGCCGGCGAGTTCTCTGCGGGCCCTGCCCTTGCCCCCTCCCCACCGGCGTGGGTGGTAGCTGCGCCGGATCGGGGTCGGGGCGCAGGAAGGGGCCACGGGATTAACTCGCCAGATGTGGTCGAGGCCAGCGGCCCAAGGGCAATGCTGCCGGTTTGGACCGTTCGGGGCCATGTGGGGGCTGGGCTGGCCAGGTACTGTGTGTGTGTGTTTGTGTGTTTTGTAATTGGGTGGGTTGGAGGGTTTTAATTGTATTTTATTGGATTGATTTTAATGGCTTCACACTTGGCTGCTACTATGGGGTTGCCTGGGGAGCCCGTGGGCGCCACCATTGGGGTGATGTTGGGCAATGGTCGATATGGCGTTGGGGGTTTAACATGTTGGCATAGAAGAAGGAGGGACAGATGGTTGACACCTGTTTCCCCTTCTGGTTATTCCCCCAACCGGAAGGTTCCGGGTAAGGTTATCAACCACCCCTCGGGCCTGACGGTGCTGCTGCTTAATGCCAGGATGGCATATAAATCTTTTAAATAAATAAATAAATGCCTGGATAGCAGAACTTCTAGCCAGCCAGCCAGCCAGCCAGCCAAGAGGTGGACAGGATGGCTCTGTCTGTCTGCACCAGGCAGTGACACACAGGTGCAGCACACCGTGTGTTCTGTGGACAACAGAGGGCCCCGCTCACTGACACACCACCTCACTCCTGCCCAGGCCAGGGGCCCTGGGCCAGCTAGAGCCGCTGCTCCTCCTCCCAACACACACACAGTGCTTAAACCAGAGCTCGTTACCTGGCACTGAGCCTGGTATTTCTTTGCTGGTCGTCCGACAATGTATATCTGTGTCGGGGAGAGGCCCAGGACACTGTACACAGAGATGTCCTTCATGGAGCCGTATGCAGCACAGATCTTGATATGGCACTACAAGGGAAAGAGAAATCGCAGGGTAGCGGCAGGGCCCGGTGCAGCTGGCCTCAGCACCGCCGGGTATCACCCTTGGGCGGCTCACCCCGTCCTCGACCTTGATCAGGTCCAGGAGGTTCAGGGCTGGACCATGGGTCAATGTTGCCAGACAACCTGCTTGTCTGCCTGGGATCCAGAGCCAGTCCGGTGGAGCCCCTTGTTCCCCTGCCCCTATGCAGTCCCCACGTCCTTTACCATGACTGGCAATCCACTAGTGATGTCTCAGCTGTTCCAGGAGGGTGAAATGCCTCCTGAAATAGGGGCTGGCAGAGGAATGTGAAGCCATACTTAGCTGGCACATTCTGGCATTTGGCGTTCTGACCCTCAGCCTTGTCCACTGCAGTCCCAAAAGTTCTGGGCTCAGTCCTTGGCCTGAAAAGGTTTGACACCCTGTTCCTGGCGATGTCACACATTGCAAGCGCTGCCCGAGGTTGGGACTTCTGCGCGGAAGTCCGTGCATGCTGCGACTTCAGCATCTCACCAGGGACCAGAGGGGAGCCCGGGGTGAGCAGTGCCGCCTGCCCTTGCATGGCTGCGTGGGGCCTTGCGGACACGCGCAAGCCGACACCTGTGATCTTGGAGCCCTAGAAGTGGAGCGGGTCACTGAGGCCATGGGATCCAGTCCCTGTTCAGGGCAGTCCCAGCTGTAGGCTCCCCCGCAGAGAGCTGTCCCATCACTGCTTGCGGCCTCCAGTGGCGGAGGCTCACTGCCTCCCTAAGCAGCCAGTTCAGTGTCTGACTCTCTGACCACTAGGGTCAATCAACATCTGCCTAATTTAAGCCCATTGTGACGTGTCCTATAGTCCTGGCTGTCAAAGGACAGGCTGTGCCTTTTTTCTGCGTGAGAACCTGTTTGGGACATGAAAAGGTGCTGCCCCTCCTCAGTCACCTCTTTTCAAGGTGTGCCTGTGACCGGGACATGATCCGATGCCACACGCCCGGCTGCTTCCATCCCTCCTGGAGAGCTTCGCTTTCGCAGAGCAGTGTGCAGCTCAGTGCCCAGTCAAGGAATCCCCCCGCCCTCCCAAAGCATGCAACAAAGAAGTGGCCGAGGGTGTCCCTCTACCTCCCGCATGAGGTTCCGGAGGAAAATGGTCTTCTGCCTCAAGGGGTCGTGGACGAGCCCGTCCGAGAAGAAGATCATGCCTTGGGGGAAGTTGTGCTGGGAGAGCCACGAGACGACGCGCTGCTTCTGCATGTCTGGGCGCCCTGTGATGTAGATGATCAGGTACCCCAGATCCTGCCAGTGCCTGTGCGGGGAGAGGAAGAGGCAGAGCACGTCAGCCGTGTCCATGGCCATCCTCTCAAACGCCCAGGCACCTTCCAGAACGGCTGGACCACAGCAACCATCGCTGTGCCGGTGGTGGAGGATGGCACCTGCAACGCAGCCCTTCTGGAGGACACCCAGCTGAGAAGGCCCCTCTGCCTGGTCCCACGTCCTACTTGGGAGCAACGAAATCCCAGCGGGCAGGCCGGGAAAGGGGCCCAAGGGATGATGGCCAGCAAGAGGCGACAGGCGCTGAAAGGAGGGGGCTTGCCTGTGGAAGCCACGAGGGAGGAAAAGGCAAGGGCCCGTGGTCTTCGGTCTGGCAGGCTGGCAGGCCAGCAGCTGCAGTGAGGTGCATGCCGAGGAAACCCGCGGAAGGGCAGGCTGCTTTGCCTCTGCAGCACGCAGAGAAGGGGCCAGGGCTCTTGGCCACACAGGGGCACAGGCAAGCCACAAACGGGCAGGTCTGACTGATGACTTCGAGTGCGGCAGTTGAAACAGAGTGGCTTATATCCAGATTTTGCTTTCAGCCTGGGCTTTATTGATTGGCATCTGGAAGACCATTTTTCAGTGAGGAGGTGGGAGAAAAAGCAAATAAATATTAGAAAATAATAAGAAGAAATAGAAACATAGAGACACAGAAACAAAGAAGGGTCCTCCTGGGCCATCTAGTCTGACCCCTGGCTCCAACCCGCTCCACTCATGACATGCCCATCATATGCATGTCTAGCCTATCCTTGAACACCCGCACCGATGGGGCCTCAACGACCTCCCGTGGAAGCCCATTCCACACCCTCGGGGTCCTAACTGTCAGGAAGAATTTCCTGGCATCTAAATGGGGCCTTGGCTCCCTGAGCTTTGCTCCGTTGGAGTGCGTCCTGCCTTCCTCTGCAGGGGAGAACAGGTCTCTGCCCACCTCCGTGTGACACCCCCTCACATACCTGCATGTCGCCAACAGATCCCCTCTGAGTCTCCTCTTTTCTCCTGCATGGGTCTGAGAGAAAGGAGGGCAGCTTTTCCAGAGCAAACCGGGGCTTCTGGCTGGCCAGAGACAGTCTCAGCCTCCCCTCTGATGGCATGGCTGGGAACAGCCCCCTCACCTGACGACATCGACAGCTCCAGCCCGGACTTTGGGATCACTGCCCATGATGGAGACGCTGGCGGCAAAGGAGCCATCGATGCTGAAGACCACGGTCTCCATCCCACGGGGCAGCACCGTCAGGTAGCTGGCCGCACTGCTCTGGTCTCCCCTGATGGCCGAGAAGAAGCACAGCAGAAGGTTGCGACCCAAAGGCGTGGCAGTTCACCCCGAGACCATATTCTGACATCTGCCCGCAAGCCCCACGTCCCCCGGAGCCCTCCTCACGAGCAAGAGTTTCCTCCCTAGGAAGACACTGCCCTGGACACCCTGCTCCACCCTCCCAGGAACTTCAGCAGTTCCTCGCCTGTGCTGGGACTGGGCTTTGGCAGGCATCCAGCGGGGTGCTGAGTTCCTGCAGCACTGGCTTCCCTCCCCAGCAGCCATCCTCTCCACACAGTGCCTGCCCTCTTGGCTCAAGGCAGGGAGTAGAGGCGGCTTCACAAGACATGGCAGGCCACTGGGTCAGCGAGCTCAGTCGTGCCCTGAGGGGCTTCCACTGCCAATTCAAGATCCAGCCACTAGATTGCTGAGGTGATTTGCTGACATTCACTTTGTTTCTGTAACTAACACTAATGATCAGCGGCTTACATGATTCTGACCGGAAGGAACATCGCCTTCCCTGTGAGCCCTTGCGCCCCTAAGATCCACAGGAGAGGCGCTGCGCCGGGAACCCTCCTTGCAGGAGGCAAGGGTGGTCTCCCCCCGGAGTGGGGCCTTCTCTGTGGTGGCGCCCAGACTGTGGAATGCGCTCCCCAGAGAGGCTTGCCTGGCGCCAAGTTCATGTTCTTTTCAGTGCCAGGTGAAAACTTATTTTTTTGCCCACCATTTTAAATGTTAGGAATTTTAAAAAGGTTTTAACTATTCACAGTTGCATTTTGATTTTGCTCCTGTTTTTGATTTTGATTCTGTTTTGCTTTTGTTTTCATTTGTGAAATGTTACTGTTCATTTTATGCACATTTTAAATTATTGTTAATTGTTGGATTGTTTGCTTTGATTTTTGTAAGCCGCCCTGAGACACTTTGCATATAGGGCGGGGTATACATATTTTAAATAAATGAATGAATTCTAAGCCAGTGTAAATAAATTGCATTGTAAATTGTAAACTCTGTTTGTTTATAAAGGGGGTGGCAACTATAGGCCCAGGGTCAAATCCTGCCCCCCCGGGACGCCAGCCTGGCCCTCTGGAGCCCCCTTGGCCACCAGTCACTGGGTGAATACCCAGCTCGAGCAGTTTCCCTCCGACTTCCCCGCCCGCTGTGTGCGCTCACGGCAAGGCTAGAGTGCCCCTTCTAAGGTTTGGTTGCCGCTTGCACAAGATTCATGACACACGAGACCGACATTTGCTAATGGGGCTCCGGCACCTGTGCCTGCAGCTGCGCCCAGTGCTGGGAAGAGCCCCCCCGACACGGCCCCCAGGCAGAACTGGCCCTGGGCTGAAGGAGGCGCGGCAACCCCGTTCTCAAGAACACCCAAGCGCCACTGAACCTCTCCCATTTGTGCCCCCGTTCAGTTGCGGGCCTGCGCACGCCCTCCGCCTCACCTGACCACCAACTTGACGGCATAGACTCCAACCACGAGCCTCTTCTCCTTGGGGATGCTGTATGAAATCCTGCCGCTGCTGTTGGTGATTTCTGTGCCAAAGTAGACCCACTGGCCAGAGGAGGGCTCCACCATGATGAAGATGTCCACCTGGAACAGGGCAACAGCCCTCCAGCCAGAGCGCAGGGGCCGAGCGGGCCACGCACGGGGACAGGATCCGCGCGGCAGGCTCCCCGCCCCAGCTGCATCCACGCTTCCCAAAGCAGTGGCCACGTCAGCCTATTGCACGGTGCTCCCCACACCCAGCCCTGCAAAGCTGACCCATTCACGACTGCAGAATAAACGTGGGCTGGTTTCACATTTGCCGGAGCAGCACCCCGAGAAAGCTACCTTTTCCCCAGTGAGAGCCACCATGTCAAGGGGGCCATACATGAAGCGCCCCACCAGCACCTGGGGCCCATCTTCCGCCGCAATGACATCATTCGACCGGTGATTGGAAGTGACGTTCTACAAATGAAGAGGAGAGGGACGTGACTGGGCTGGGCTGCACAGGGGCAGCGGTGCTGTGGTCCCCCGGCAGGGTGAGGGTGACTGCTGCGTCCCCACCCCCTTTCGGCACAAGCTTCCTCTTGCCAGCAGCTGGACAGCTCTGCAGGCCCTCAGCTTGTGAAGTCCCGAGGGGGCAGCAGCCAGCTGCTTTCAGAAGCACAAGCAGGGGAGCAAGAAAGCGGCCCTCTGAGGGTGCAGAGAGGCGTTTCAGGGTGTCCTCACCCTCAGCTTGACTTGGGTCCTCTTGCGCAGCCATTTCTCCCGTGGATTGGAGGAGCTGCATGTTGCTGGGTCCAAGCTGTTGTTCTCCTTGACACTCACCATCTCGAACCTCATCACCTGAACGGAAAAGGGAATGAGAGGGACAACTCTGTCATGCACCCCCCACCGCAAAACGATCTACAGGCCAGGCAGCGATGGAGGACTCTGGGTGGGAGGAAAGGGCAAAGAGCAACGAGGCGAAGCCCAAAGTCAAGGCAGTTGCTGCACCGAGGCCATGAGCCTGCAGAATAGAAACCAAGGTTGCTGAAATGTGTCTCCAGGCAACATATTTCCTTTCCTGAAAAAGATGATGGATTTCCTTGTGAGCAAAAGGACCCAACTGGCTGGGCACACCGCTCAGTCAAGGGCACCCGCACTCTGTTCTTCTGCCAGGGGGCTCAGGGGGCTCACCGGCCTCCTCTGCACAGTGGGCAGAGGCTGGGAGAAGGTGAGTCACCCAGCAGGCATCTGGACTTGTAGCTCCCCATTCCAGGTCAGTCCCCGGAAGATGGGAGGGAGAAAGAGGGAGAACGCGGAGGTTGGCACCATCACCTGTCTAAGGATGAAAGCAACCACGTCTGTTGATTCCCAGTAGCTTGCGTGGAAAAGATGCGGCAGGGCCACTGTCGGAAAAGTGGTGAGGCCGTCTGGGCAGTACAAGGCATAATCTATCCGTTTGCTTCCCCACCATTTGGAAGTGACTGCAAAAAGAAAAAGAAAAAAAATGGTGAACTGGAAGTTATGAGCGATCCTTTCTAAAGCCCAGCACCCACCTCACAAAATGCTTGCGTCACTTTCGCACGCAATAACATGGGCGCTGGAGCATGCAACACATTCTGCAAGCAGGACGCTGCCAAGAGAGGCTGCTCATCCCATAATGCCCCTCCTGGGAGCCAGTCAGCATTCTCAAGCAGGGCATCTTCACGGCACACGCCAAAGAACCAGGCATCTTGCTGGGGCTTGAACAAGCTGAGCCGTGGCACCTCTCTGAGGAAGACAACAAGGTCCCTGGAACAGGGCAACATCCGAGGGCTCCCCCGGGGAAAATGTGAGTAAGAATCTCCAGCTGGTCCTTTCTGTGTTCTCCCAAGCAGGAGGGCCAGCATGCGCCAGCAGCCAAAGAGATGCCGCTGCAACAGCCGAGGGCTTGCATATCGGAGGAGCAGGTGCCACCAACAATTTGAATGCTTCTTATTCAAATGGGCTTAAACTGCATCCATTTCAAGGCTGCGGCAAACTTCCATGGCAAGGAACTGCACCTGGTGTTGGCACTGACAACACGGAAGGTTCGGGTTTCCAGAATGGTCAACTTTTGACGCTTGCGTGTGTTCTGTCCTGTTCTGGATCAGTTTGTAAATCTGGGGGCAAATTGGCCAGATGAAAGTTGAGGCATGGTTTTGTTTGCATTTCTTTCAGGGAAGAATTGGATGAAAGGAGAAATGCTTCCAAAACTGCCATTTCCTCTCAGTTACTATGGTGCAATAGCAGGAGGTTAGACCCACTGGCCCTCCTGCCCCCTCCAACTCTACTATTTTAGGATTCTGTAATCCAAGATCAGCAGAGCAAACCGTGGGCAGAAATAGAAGGCCAATTGCATTCCAGAAGGCATATTAGTTGGGACTCCACCAGGGAGCTCCGTCTGCATTAAGAAGTGAGCCAAGCCAGCCCACCCAGCGGCAGCGTTGTCGGAGTGCATTTTGTGACAGGAATGGTCAATGTGGGGAATGTTGCCCTGTCTGAGCCCGATGGGACGCTGCGGCATTTCTGTCCCAGCAAGCGGGTTTTATCCACTTACTGGAATCCTTTAATGCATTTTTTCAGGTTCCACTGTATGTACAAATTGCAATTTACACAAAAGGAAAAAAATGAGCAACTGCTGTTGTAATTTTAAAGAAGGTATTGCACAACGGCAAGTATCCCTGCCCACGTGGCAGCCCCACAGAGCCAGGCTGAGTAAATGTCCATTTCATCCTCCACTTTAGGGCAGGGGGAATTGAGAAGCCCTTTCTCAAATACTGAATGCAGCTTTGCTGGCTAAACTGAGCCCTGTGTGCAAAGGATGAAACCGATAAGGACACTGGCAGGACAGATATGCCTCTTGGGGTGACAGAGCAGACCGGAGGACTTGCAATTCTGCCCAGTTGTGTAGGATCACCGACTTAAAAACAAAAATAAGTAAATAAAATCAGGACAGCATTTGCACCAATGTCAAAATTCTCCCCTTTGCCCACAATTGCCACCATTAAAAAATAAATGGTACATGCATGTGGCTCAACTCGCGGCAGGCTGGGTTGACATCACTGTGGGGAGCGGAACAAAATCCACAGGGATGAACCAGAAACATCCGTTGAGGCTTCCTCACCAACCGAGCTCTCAGAGGTCTCTCTTTCGCGAAGCTGGCAGCTGGCAACTCTCCCTTGCTTTTCCAGTATCAGGAAAACAAGAAATGTGCAAGCCCTACTGCCATTTAAGGTGGGTTTATTTGTAACTTTCCTTCTGAGCCAAGCTGCAAAGGGCAACTAACCTACCCAATATCAAAAAACAAGCTCAAAATCTTTGAGCTATTGAACTGTCAAAACTCATGCCAAAAAATGCCACAGAAACGCTGTTCTGTGTACAACCCTGCAAACCCCCAACACAAAAACAGAGTGTCATGAAAAGCCCAGAAAAGGAAGACGGGAGTGCTTCCGGGGGGAGGCAGCGGAGTTCCAAAGCCTCAGCACGGCGGCTGAAAGAGCCCTCTCCGAGTAGCCCTGGCTAGCACCACTCCTTTGGAGAAAGTCCCTGAAGTGCCCCAGGCACTCCGTTCTTTGAGAAGGGCATTCACAGGATGGGTCTTTTGCTGGTGCTGCTCTTTACAGGCTGTCTTTAGGGCCACATGCCTGAGGCCACTGACCACACTCACTGTTGGCCACGCTGGCCGGCAGCAAACTCTCCGTGGACCCGGAGTTCTCACTGTTGGTGCTGCCCGAGCTCCCTCTTCGTCCCTTTGCATTCTGCAACTCTGGTGCTTCCGCAAAGGCAGATGGGTCTGCAGCGCCGTCCTCAGCAAACAGGGAGCTGTGACACTGGAGGGTGTCAGCTGCACAGCAGGGGAGAGAAGAGACGGACAGAGAGAAGGCAGGATGAGATGCCAGCAAGTGCAGAAGGTGCATTTATTGGCTGAGCATCTGGAGGAGGAGGAAGCAAGGAAGTTTTGGGGCGACTGACCCGCTCCTTTTCTCCTTGAGATTTCAGCCATTTCTGGTGCGATCCCAGCCATGCAGGAGTCCCCACTGCCCACCTGCCTCTGGCTGAGGAGTACTGGCGCTTGTACGGCTTTATTTTCTACCTGAACATACATAGGGTTGCAACCTCGATTTCTTTATTTTATACACTAAGCCACCTGTAGTAAGCCATCTTAGGTGCATCAAGCATAAAAGGCAGGTTAGAAAGACACTAAAGACAATACATTTGATCAGTATCTGCTTTGATGTCAATTGGAACGCCAACCTTTTAGCCACTGTTCTCACTGGGCTGCCCCTGCTGCGACACGGGTGACTTGCAGCTCTCCCGATGTTTTGGCCTAGAGCTCCCATCAGCACTCACCAACGCAGCCATGCATTATGGGAGTTGCAAGCCACAACATCTGGACGGCCACAAGTTGTCTACTGTAGCTCTCATGGACCATCACCATGGATGTGGATGCAAAGGGCTTCATCGGCTTGTGCCCACATTAGGCTGAGAGCCAACCGTGAGAGGGTTTCTCACAGCATCTTGCCTGGGAATTATTTGGAGCTATCTCTGTAAAAAGCTCTGGAAGTAGCACAGCACTAGGTTTCCTGCAAAGCTGTCTGGAACGGACGCCAGTGGCTACAATGGGGTCTGAATGGCACAACAAAGAAACAGGCGTGATACCTAAGAGGTGGGATCTCCCATCTCCCAGCGGGTATCTCTGGTACCTTGGCACGGCAAAGGGAGGCAGAAGGTGGAACTTATTCTCTAAGAGTGGCTCCAGCCTGGAGGCAGACGGGTCAGCGGAGTGGAAGAGGCTGTAAACCTGGCTGCAGGCCGGATGTACCTGGGACACTGAAACAGGAAGCGGGGGGCAGGGTGTGCCGGAAGCATCAGAAAATGCTCAGTAGCCTTGCAAGAGCATAAAAGCAAAATAAAAGCCAGCACGAGGTCATCCTTAAATTCCCAGAAGGGTTTCACAAACAAGGGCACTGACTCTGAGGTCTCAGAGAGGTCTCAAAATCCAAGAGGTCTCAAACTTCACTGACTCTGAGGTCTCAGAGAGAAGTGCATGTTCAACAGAAGAACCCTTGGCTTTGTCATGCAGAATTGCTGGGAGGTGTTTATAGCTCCTTTCGCAGAACGCACAGGATTAGGAGGACGTCTGCCTTCCCTCACTCAGCAATAAACTTGAGTTAATGGCACAGACTTAATCTGTAATGTTTAAAAACAGATGGTAAATAGATGGCATATACCTTGGTGTATATATACCTTTATATACCAAGTTTTAGGACAGAATGCGTGGACTCAATTTAGCACCACAAGATACCACTTATCCTAAGAGCATAATTTTCTGTTACAGTAACTGGCCACATGGGCCTCGTTGTCATTAAAGAGGAAAACTGTCCCAGCCCAGCTGCTAATCCAACAAACTATGAGAACAGAAGTTTGAGCATTTCCACATACAGCTTCAGGGGAGCTCTCCTGATTTGTTAAATTCAATCCAAGATCAATTCAAAGTTTACCTGCTCAGAAAATGCATCCAGGTTTTATTTTAACATATAATTAAATCAATGAAAAGGCAGGGATCTTGAATTACATCTTGTGAGCATAATGCAACAGCTGAGGAGCTCCTGAACTCACCAGGCCCAGTTAAGAGGAGGGGGGCCTGGTGCCCTTCGGGCTGAAGACGTCACTCCACTTTGGACAGTCTATGCCGGGGGTTCTTACATGGCTGCTGGGAAAATGTTCTTGAGGGAGTCACCTAGTCACCTAAAAAGCTCACAATCCATTTTCTTATGTTGCAGAGTCGTGTTCCGGTTCTTCCTTAAGGCTTTGGTATTTTCTTTTTTGCAAGCTTTCCAGTTTGACTGTTTTCTCTTTCCTCACAAGACAGTTTATTTGTCATGTCCCTTTTCTGCCCTCTCTTAGAGCCTGTCTCATCATTCATGACCTCACATTTTATGTATACCCACCAGAATGCAATTCTCTTGCACAGTTCAGCCTCAGTCGTTAATGGACCATCATGCTTAACGAGCATCTGAAGTCCAGCTCTCCAGTAATCAAGTCAACTCGCTTTTTAAAGGAGGTAGCAGGGCATGTGTCTCCAGGGGGCAGGTCCAGCGTGGCCTGACCCCCACGGCAGGGAATGCGCCTACATGTGAAGGGTGGGCGGCTTCCGGGGCTGCCCCCAGAGCCTGCAGCTGCCCCCCTCTGGCGCTGGGATGGGCCCTTCAGGAGCCACGGTTTGAACAGTCCCGGTGTTTCCAGCCTGGCAGCGCCTGTTGCTAAAACCATTCCCCCTTCTCTGTGCCCTGCCACAAAGAGCCTCCCGTCCCCCAGACCGGGAGAGGGAGGCGCACTCACCTTCCAGGCAGGGCAGCACCGTCCTCCTCATAGCCAGCACCAGGCCGAGGGGCGAGCCAAAGAGGAAGAAGTCGGACACCTCGAATTCAAAGCGCCCCCGGCTGGCGTCCGGCAGAGCAGCATTGCTCTCGGGTGGGAAATCTGCATCCTCACTCAGCACGGATGAGTGGATGCTGCAAAGACACACATGAGGGAGACGGGACAATGCACACAGGCCCCTAAATGCAGCGGCAGCCCCCTGCAGCCCCGAGCACGAGCCACACTGCCTGGGCTGGGCAACGCGCACCTCCCTCCTCATAATTCTGGGCCGAGAGGTCTGCAAATAAAGCGGACTGGCAGCGGAGGGAGGGGTGGGGGTGGGGTTGGCCCAGGATCCTCAGCGGCTGCACTGGGTCCCTCCCAGCTCTTGCTCTGAAGGTTTCAGCGGACAGGGCAGCCTGTGCAGATGCCGGGGAGCACAAGGACCCGGGGGACGTGTGCCCACCGAGCGATGCCGGCCAGCAGCAGAGCCTCGCTCTTCCACAAGCAGCTGCTGCCAGCTGCCTGATGGGCCCCAGCGTGCCCCCCTCCTCACCTGAAGTCCCAGCTGCTCTTTTCTAATGATGGCTATTCATTATCTGGAGTCTAACACATTTTTTTTCGGCCCAGGATGCATTTAAATTTAAAGGATCCCGATCTAGGGACCAAGTGGGGAAATAAAGCACAAAAGGAGCAAGGGATGTTCATTCTCTTCTTGACTCCATCATCCTCAAGCACCTCACCACGTAATACTGGATTACACCAGGATGCAGGTGGTATTCCAAGTTCCTTTCCACCTGCCTTGTGACCCCGTGAGTCACTAACCGGGAAGCCTTGGTGTGCAGAAGGGCCCTTGGTCACCTGGAAAGGAAGGCACGATGCTTCGTGAAGGTATCGCAGTCATAGCTGGAGCAGTCACTCTGTTTCCGTGGTAATGGTTGTCTAGACTCCTCGCCCTCCATCACAGCTGTGATGTCAATATTGCTTTTGCTGAGGCGCTTGAGGTCTCCCAAGTTAGAGTCTTCAGATGGGAGGGGATTGTCCTAAAAGAAAAAAGAAAAAGAAAAGTGCCCACTGCAGAGGGGAGACTTTGAGTGTTTTGAGAGGAAAGCTGCTTGCTACAAGCCTTCATCTGCAAGATGGCTTTACGGGTCAAGCATTTTGCCAGGACAAAGACAGAATCCAAGAGAAGCCTGAGCCTGTGGACATATTTATTCCATCTACGTATTCCTTGAACATTTGTCTGTCAATCTTGGGCTGCCATCTCTCACTTCCAGATTGTACTTCCTCTTGATTGTAGATTTCCTTGTGGAACAAGACTGAAGCGAAGTAGGAACTGAGCACCTCTGCCTTTTCCTTCTCACTCTGCCATCCACTTTAAGTAGCTGGACACCCTTCTTATTCTCATGTCTTTTGTTCTGGAGGCATCTGAAGAAAGCTTCCTTGTTGATCTTCGTATCCCTTGCTAGTCCCAGCTCATTTCCTGCTTTCGCCTTCCTGATGCTATTCCTACAATTCCTTGCTATTTGATGATATTCTTCCTCTGTGACCAGGCCCTGCTTCCATTTCCTGTATGTGTTCTTTTTTACTTTCAGGCTGTCACTTAGCTTTTTGTGGAGCTATGTGGTATTGTCTTCTACACTTTTTCTTATTGCAATTGTCCGTAGTTTTGATTGGAGAATCTTCTTTTTCAAGATTTCCCACCTCCTTGGACCCCTTTTCCCTCAAGAGGGGGTTGCCATGGGGCTCAAGTTCATTCTCTTTGTTCCCCACACTCTGGACATTAATGTGTTATGGTACAGAGATGGCCACCCGTGCGTTTTATGCACTGGCCTCTCTTCTACATTTTCGGGTGCAACTAAAACTCTTCTCTCTGTCACGGTTCATAAGACATCATCCATTGTTGCCTCAAGTTATTGTTTCCCTCCCTGATAGGATTCAATTTATCGCCCTCCTGATGAAATACTCAAAGCTTTTGAAATGCTCAGTGCACACTCGTTCCAGTGCTTGTGAGGTATAGCCCATCCCTTGCCAGCCGACCATCTTCCACGCGGAGTAATCAGTGGCCCCAGCATCTGAACAGAGATTCCTCTCTGCGCCTCCTTCATGGCCAGCTGTTCATCGGGAGTATTTTTCTTTCTCCTTCTATTCCTCTCTCAAGAACTGGAAGGATGTGTGAAGAAACTACCTGGGCCCCTTTGTGCGCCTTGTCTGGGTGTGAAGCCTGGCACACTCCGGATGGTGCAACCTACGTTGCCAATCAAGCGCCAGCCAGGAAGTGCCAGCTCCTCCCCTTCTGGGGTCGTTGTTTGGTGCTACCTAGAGGCACACTCATTTTTCAGCAGTGTTAAATGTCTCTGGCGTTAATGTCACCAGGATTTGATTTGGGGTTTTTGACATTAGCTGTAATGGACGCTAATCTTATTATTTTAAAATGCCATATGTAGGCAAACAGGCTTCCGTGCTAATAGGAGTAGTGTGAGATGAAATCATTGGTTTAGCTAAGGTTATTAATGGCATAATTAACTGCTTCCACCTGCCTCTTTTTAACCTTGGGTTAAAAGGAGGTTCCTCCACTTTCTTATGCAGATTGAGAAGAACTGATCGCCTTATCTCCTGAAACACCCGTACAGATACTTGCTTTGTAGCGGCATCAGATGTGGAAAGCATCAATGCACAATTTTAAGGAGGCTGCAAAATCGGCTATATCATGCTGACTTTCTTAGGATTTTTGTTTGAGCAAATATGCAGGCAGTATAAATAACATCCTCTCCCCAGCCAACATGAACAAGCAACTTGCTAATTCAGTCCAGACAGTTCTTCAAACTAGCTCCGGATTTTCCTCTAATAAATCATAGAAACAGCGCGAGTGAGAAGGGGTCTCCCAGGCCACCTAGTCTGACCCCCGGCTCCAGCCAGCTCCGCTCATGACAGGCCTACCATGTGCATGTCCAAATCATACTTCTGGATCTTGTGGGCCCAGCATACTGCATAAGGATTGGGCCCCCGCCTCACCTACCAGTGTGCCTGCAAATGTACATTATGTGCACATTTAATGCAAAGGGTTATCATTTTTAAAATGGAATACAATGCATCTCGTCAGCGTGTGGAAAAGAGAGACCAGGTCAGGCCCCTTTGACTCCGGGGAAATACAAGTCAGGTTCAGGGAACCATTTCTCTGCAAAAGGCCACAGAACCCTAGGAAAAAAGCAGCCAAGGATTTTGTGACCCCCCCCCTCCCGCTGCCACCACGACACACACACCTACACGCAGCACCCCACCTGTACGCTGCTGCTGCTGCCTCTCCTGCTGCTGGCTCGGCTTTCATCCGCCAGTCCTGTGCTGTAGCAGATGGCATCGAAGCCCAAAATTCCTCCCACGCAGTCCCCAATCAAGCACACCTAGGAAGGGGAGGAGAAGGAGAGACGTTAGGGTTGTCCCAGGCAGCACAGAAGTCTGCCCGGACCCCTGTCCAAACTCCACTCGGTCCCCTGAGGAGACAGAAGCTACATGGAGGATTTGGGTGCCCTTGGATTCCTCAGGCACAAAAGTTACCAGCCTGGGAATCTGCACACAGCTTGGATTCCTCAGTCAACCTGCACCTGTGCTACCGCAACGCATACGCACAGCAAGCACGGTTCGGTGAATGAGCCGCAGGGGCAGGTGTGGAGCCAGACACAGCGGAGTTAAGCTGCATGGACTGTCTCTCTCCAGAAGTAGCTACGGATGCACCAGGAATTCCACAAGGACGACAATAATGACGCTTGTAGGTGGGGAACTGCCCATCCTCCTCACATCGTCAGCCATGCCGTACTATTCCAAATGCTATTTGCAGGCCACAAAATACATCCGGGCACATGTGCCCTGAACTGCTTTCTCAAGTGCAAGGAAGCCTACGTTCCCCAGAACATCTCGGGGAGCTTCTCAGAGGAACCTCTGCTGGCTAGATCCCCACCATTATCGTTGCTCTCAGGTGGCAACGAGCAGGTGCTCGGAGATTCAGCAGGGGGTCCCCAGGGACGTGCCAGTGCTGGGAGAAGACAGCACAGAGGAAGGCAAAATGCGAGGTGAAGACGTCCATGGGCTGTGGCCACTCTCACGGATGTCTGCTGGCCCACTTTGTGGAAGCAGCTCAGCCCACACCTCCCAAATGTGGTTCTACACCAACCACAGGGCCACAGGTGAGCAGGAACAGCTCCAGATGTTCCGGAGTTCAACTCTTGACCACTGGCCATGCTGGCAGGGACTTCTGGGTTGGAAGCCCCAAACATCTGGGGAACTGCACAGCTTGATGCTAGACCATACCCTCCGCCCTTCCCTTCTAGAACCCCAAAACTTGCTTGTCCCACTGGCTCCACAGGTTCCCTCAGGGACAAACAAATTTGACAAGAGGGCTTTGCCTGACCTGAAAAGGACAAACCCAGCAGTGTCCTTGTTTGGCCTGTATTCTGTGCCAGCCTGATTCCCAGAACTACACCCTTCATTTCTTGCTGGGAGAAAGCTCCAGCAGAAGAGAAACACAGGAGATGAATGTCTCCTTCTGGAACTTCCGAGTTGGGCTAGAGCAGTCCCTTGAGACTAGGAACACAGAACATGGAAAGAGAGTGACTGGGTCATCTAGTCTGACCCCTGGCACCAGCCGGCTCCACTCATGCCATGAGACCTTATCTGACATCCTGCCTCCTTTCTCAGCAGCACCACGTGTCGAATTCAGGCCCTCCCTCGCTCTCCTTCTCTCTGCAGCAATCGCCTAGCTCACTGGAGCTGCCTGCGTTGCAATTTCGGAGGTTCAAGGGAGGGGAGGCAGCACGGTGCTGCAGCGTGGCTTCCCTCCCGGGGCTCAGTGAAAGGGGAGGAAATCATTCGGTGGTGCTCCTAGGAAGTGGAATAGGTTGGCAGGCTCCTGACCAGGCCAGAGGCTTCCCATGGCACCACTCTTCCCTCGGGAGCGTGGAGAGTGCTCTGTAGGCTGAGCATCCCATCCTCAAGTGTTCCCCGGGCCACTGAGCAAAGTCACAGGGCCCTGGAATATCACGTCACTTGGCAGCCTGTGGCTCCTTCCAGCTGTCTTGCTTCAGAGGAACGAAACAAAGGAAGAAATGCATCACTTCAGGGCGAGAGAAAGGAGATGTTCTGACCAAAACAGAGAGCCCAAAACCTGTGCAGAAGCTTCCACCCCACCCCAACTCCCTTGGCCTGGGTGAGAGAGAGGTGGCCCTACCTGCCCGTTAAAGCCAGTCCCATCAGGAGACTTGAGAAACTCATCATAAACCTGGTTGGCTCTGCTGATCACCATGGCAACTGCATCCTGGTACTGTGGAGAGGAAATGGCCAGCAAGGGCAAGGCAGCCAGAGGAATGTGATCTTCGCTGCTGCTAAGCGATGTCTCATCATAACTATAAGGGTTCAAACTAGAAGAAGAGAAAGCGGCAGCATCACAAATTATCCACACGGGACATCACAAGGAGGGCGAAGAAAAGGGACAGTGATCAAAACTGATCTGAGGCTTTCAGTTCTGCACTGCTACGCAACACTGGCAGCTCGCTTTTGTTTCAGACCAGCTTTAACTGGAGGAAAAGAGCACGTATGAGATTCACCAGGCTCATTTCTGGTTTGAGAACAAGCTGGATTACCTGGTGTAATCAGTAATCCTGAAAAAAACCCTACGGTTTCTCCCACTGTAGATGCTACCCAGAGTGGCTCTGAAGTAGAAGCCCAGGAAAGAGGCCCCTGTATCTACAGAGGACCTTGCAAAGCTGTTGTGAGAGGCCAGCACTCAGCTAGGCCTGCAGGGTGCTGTGGACATGGTGGGCGCCAGGGAAAGCTTTGGCAGCTGAACAGTAATGGGCTTTCTTCCCGGACATTTGTGGGGGCATTTCTGAAAGGAAGAGATGCATGCTCCCCCAGTGAGGGAGACGCCCTCCTTGTCCGCGGGCCTGGGGGACATCAGCAGCTGCCACAGATGGAGTCCACCCAGCCCAGCATTGTTAGCACAAACCGACGGCAGCAACTCTCCAGGTTTCAGGCGGGGGCTTTCCAGCCCTACCTGGAGATGTCGCTAAGGATCAAGCCCTGGAAGGCTTGTGCAGACGTCCAGCTGGACATTCTGGCTACTGTGACCCTGTTTGGCAATGGTGGGGAGCAGGGAAGCCCGCCCCACTTTTCACAACTGTTTTGTGCCCCGATGGAATCCTTTTGGAGTGCTCGCTCCTTACAAGCCATCCGCCCACCCACTCCCAGGGAACATCCCAACACCGCACCGAAGTCCGGCAGACAATCCAAGATTTTCCGGCATTAGTCTGTGCCACAGGCAGCCCCGTGTTGCCTCCAGCAGCTTTGGCACGCTCATATTCCAGCAGCTGGGGAACATGGGCCAAACAGGGGCTGGTGCTGTGGTCCCCTTGACTACCCATAGGTTTCCTGGGGGGTAGCCGCTTGGCCACTTCAGGAATAGTGGCCAAGTCCCACTGTGGCTGGAGAGGCAGCACCAGGTGAGCCCTGTGAGAGAGAAGAGGTGGGCAGAGGCGGGTCTTTGCACTTTCATCTGCATGGTATTCATTCGTTTATATATTCTGCTTATATCCTAACTGTTTCTCTTTCAAGGAATTCAAGGCGGCTTGCATAATTCTCCTTCACCTCCTCAATTTTGTCCCCCAACAATGACCCTAACCCTAACCCTGTGACTGGCCCAAAGTTGTCCAGGTCTCCTGAGCCCGCATCCTGGATGCCTCCACATGACGCCACGCTGAGTTTCACAGCAGCTTCCCTTTGCCACATGTCCCCTGCCTTCCATCCAGTCCTGACAATGGCAGAGCAGTTTCCATCAGGGGGCAGCACAAGATGGGAAATGGCCCAGCTCTGCAAACTGCTAAGGACATACTCAGTTCCTTCAGTTTGGCCAGCAGAGTTCTGGTTTGCTGCCCACATGCAAATCCAGCCAGTTTATAGACTCCTGTCTATGAGACTGACTGACTGACTCATGTATTTTTCCCCAAACAAAATGGAATGTGCACAAATGTCACTGGGAAAGCACCCTAGTGCAACTTGCACAAGTTGTGCAAGTTCTGTTAAAAACATATTCCTTCTTGGTTTTGTTTTGTGCACATTACATTAGTAGTCTGAAAAAAATAGCTATCTGTCTTACAAATGAATGTCCGCAAAACAACAACAAACACAAACTTTGACTCAGCTCTCTTCTGATTATATCAGAAGCAGTAAATCCAGCAAACTCAGACACACCAGTTTCCTATTTCAACAGATTCCTACCAGCACATCACACCCTACAGGGAAAACCAGGCTGGGTTTGCTGTTTCCAGGTGGCCAAGACGCCCTCTGTGTGGAGAGCTGAGCTGCACCACTGAACCTGGGCTGTGCCCAGAAGTTGCCTACAAAGCCCTCAAGCAGCGCCCCCAGGCCTGGCGTTCAGCTCCTCCTGCGAGATCCCCCTCCCTGTGCCCCCCCGAGGCCAGGTGGACTCTTTGCAAAGGTGATTCTGCTGCAAAACAGGAAGAATTTGAGCAGATTGGGCTGGAGGAGATATTTCTTCATTTTGAAAACTGCATGCATTATATTTGTGTCCTGTTTTGTTTCCTTCCCAGAAACTCAAGTTGGTTTACATAATTCTCCTCGCAATCTTATCCTCACAAGAGACCTGTGAGGTGGGTTGGGCAGAGGGTCTGCCAGCCAGTGGCTGAATGGGACTAGTAACTGGATCCCCGAACCCCAGTCTCACATGCTTAGCTACCACCGTTCCACCTCGTGCTGAGTTAGAAGCTGTTTTCCTCCTCTTCTTTCTGAACTGGACATTTGGGTGATTCTCCCATTTAGGGATCACACAGGAAATGGAACGGAGGCACCTTGTTGCACAGTCCAAGTTGGCTGTGCAATATCACTGACAGCAAGGGAAAGCCACACTGTGTGTGTGTGTAAGAGAGAGAGAGAGAGAGAGAGAACAGAAGAAAATGTAGCATCTACTGTGTCCAAAAGCCAGGATAGTTGCTTGGAGCCATGCCAAGGCTTCATGGCCTTCAGCTTGTTTGAAGAGCACCAGAGATAGAAACAGAGTGAGTCAGAAGGGGCCTCCTAGGCCATCTAGTCTGGCCCCTGGCTCCACTCATGTTGTGCTTTGGATAATTGCCTTGGACCTGTTTTCCTGAATCCTTCCTTACATGAGGGCTGCTTTTGCTGTGAGAATGAAACTCTTTGCCTTACTGAAGCGGCTTTGCCCTCTCCCCAAGAAGGGAGCAGATCAGGTCCTGTGTGTATGCACAGCCACTGAAACAGAAGGAGAGGGGATTTATAAAATCCATAGGAAGAAGTCTTGTCTTTTGTTCTCAGCCCAAGGCAAGGAATTTGCCCAATTGCTTTGGCGGCTCTTGGAGCATTCTGTGCCCTGTTCAGAAAAACAACAGGGCCAGACAAGAAGAATATGAGCTTGCTTTGCTTGCTTACGTTCTGCATCCACATTTACCCTGTCATCAAAAATAGTGCCATCGTCTTTGATGCATGTGGTTTTGTCTCATCCTAAGAACCACTGGATCAGAAAGCGAGGTGCCTTGGCCAAATCAGACCTTTCGGATTCGCACACAGGTTGAATACACCAGGCAAAAAACTTTGCAGGAGTGCCAAAAGGCTTCTGCAAGAGGCCAGCTCTTCTCCTCAAAAAGGAATGTGAGCCCTTAAAAGGCTGCTTTGCATCCGGTCGAGCAAAGCTGCCTTTGTTGGGGCAGCAGCTCTGCTGAGGGGCCACCCTACAGGCAGCATTCCCTGCGGGGAGCTGTCCGGGGTGCTGAATATTCCCTACTGCGCTGCATCCCTGGTTGTTGAAGCAGAAGTGAGCGACTGGCCATGACCAGCAACTGGTTCAGGTGGGGGGGGGGGAGTTCTCCAGGGAGTCTACCTGCTCACTAGCATTGCCACCTGCTCCTTTCCCCTTTTTTCATCACTTGGAAACACAGAAACAGAGCGAGGCAGAAGGGGTCTCTGGGGCCATCTAGTCTGACCCCCGGCTCCAGCCGGCTCCGCTCACGACATGCCCACCATGTGCACATCCAGCCTATCCTTGAACACCCTCACTGATGGGGCCTCAACCACTCCCGGGGAAGCCCATTCCACACCCTCGGGGTCCTGACTGTCAGGAAGTGCTTCCTGGCATCCAAATGTTACCTGGGCTCCCTGAGCTTTGCTCCGTTGGAGCAAATGGAACTTGCCTGCTTGGCAGACAGAGACCCTGAAAGCAGTGAATGCAAAGATCCTTTTGTAATCCGTCTTTCTCACGTTCATCAGACTTCTTACCCATCCTCAGCCCTAACCTACAGAGGGACCTGAGCTCAGGCCTGGGAATGCTTGGGAATGCTGGGGCACCCCTTCTTTGCATTGCTTTTTTCTTCTGTTGGGCACACAAAGTCCACAAGCCCCACATGCAGAAGCCAGTCTTGCCTGCTGCACCTGTGCAGCTGCTGGACTCGCGTCTTGCCGAATCCACAAACTGGACTCTTCACACACCACAGCCAGATAAGAAGAAGATCCAGATAATAAGGATCATCCAGCAGTGCCTGACTGGCAACCAGCCTCTCAAGAACCTTCCCAGGAAAGGAAAAACTGCTACCAGTCTGAAGTTGTTGAGGTTTTCTGATTCAAGGGAGGATATTTTTTGGCAGTGGTTTTGCCACCTCTGCAAGGAGGCGCGGGACACCCCTCTCTTGCAATGAGGCGTCATCACCTTCCCGGCCCAGCTAGTTGTTCCTTCCTTAGAAGCGGGGCAGAGAGGCCGGAGGGGCCAGGAGGAAGCAGAGGGGAGAGGCCACCCACCTGAGAGGCTTATGAGGCATCATCCCTGGTCTGGGTCCCTTGCAGCTACTGCAACACAGGTGATTCAGGCCTCTTTGGAACCCCTCTGGGCCTTTGGACCTCTCTCACAGGAAAAGCAAGGCGAGGGAGCAGGGCCGTCCTGACAGCGCTGAGCTATTTTGTTCTTGGCCAGCAGAAAATGGGAGAGCCCTAATTATGCTGCTCTCAGTGCCCATTTCTCCCCAACAGCAGAAGCTGGGGTGGTGGGGAGGGTCCTTCGCCAACCTATTTCCTTCCTCCACTCAGAGGAGATGCTTCTGTGAGCTGCTCCCTGTTCTGTCCTCCCCCTCCCCTCCCCTCCCCTCCCCCCAGCTGTGTCATCATCTGGTTGGAAGTATGGCATTCAGAAGCCTCATTTAGGTTTGCCAGGAGTGGTAAATATCAGCCTCAACCCATCCCTGCAGTGCAAGGTTTCATTGGGACAGTAGCATTTTGCCTTCAGAGACTCATTTTTCATTTCAAATGCCGAACTGCTGGCTTGTTCAATAAAAGCTCAGCGAGTCATTGCAAGGACTGTGGGAAGCCAGAGACACAGAAAAGAGGGACTACCCAAACCTGAGCCACCTTCCAGCAGGAGCTAAAATGTCACTTCTTTGACATTCCCTCTCATGCAAAATGCCCCCGTGCAGCGTTACTGCCACTGGCTCTATTTATTCACCTGCTGCCTGCAATCCAGCCGGGTGCCAAAATCTCTACTCCACATTTGCTTTCCAAACAGCGGCCTACAGAGGAGGGTAGCAAGATCAAGGGTCCATTCAGCCCCACTGCCCGCAGGTCCCTTGGGCTCTGCCCACCCAAGCTAAGGCCAGGCTGAAGCCAAATGGACTCGGGCTCTCTAGCACCTGCAGCACGAACCTTGAGCAGCTGCAGCACTGAGGGCAGCTGGCGGGGCTCCGTTCTGCGCAGATGTCCTGCAAGGGCTGGGCAAGCTCCCCAGGACTCAGGCTCAGCAGTGCAGCAAAGCAGACCTGAGTCCAGCCAGCTGAGCCCATGGAATCCAGTGGTTTCCCACAACCCAAACAGGTTCCTCACACAGCTCTCACGCAAGCTCCTCAGCAACTGGTATTAGGGCTGTGACACACCCGGTTAGAATCCATCCCTCCAAGCGCATGTGGGCTTCATCCTGTGCTCGGCCTGGTCTTCTAAAGCAAGCAGAGCCAAGAAGAACCTGTGAACCCTCACCAAGCCCTGACTGTGCACCCAGCAACATTCTTCCACATCTCCAGCAGCAGCCAAGAGGCAGCCTGCAGCTGGGCAGAAGAAAGATGCTCTTTGTACAGCATGTGGGGGAACTGCTCTCCTGGAGGCGCCTTGTGGCCGAGCCCCTGGCTACTGGCCTTCTCTGGCGCAAGGAGCAGCCACGTTCGAAGAGCCACGCTGGTGCACGGGGGCTGCAGCAGCCATCCTTCCCAGTGGCCAGACGTCTGCCCTGCTTGCTGCCACCGGCACCATGGGCATGGGGACAGCCTTGCCAGCGGCCGCTCCTGGCAGCAAGCTGCCCTCCCCACCCGCTGCTGCTGGCCCCGTCCCCGGCAGGCGCCCACACACACGGGGCAGATTCACCGGGACTCGGACTCCAGGCTACTGCCAAGTGGACCAGGTGCCAAGTGGAAGCCAAACAAGGGATTCCAGCAGATTTTCCACAAGACAGATTCCTCATACATCCTTAACTGGTGTACGCGCTCAGAAAGTTTGCTTCCTCATCAGATCTATTATGCTGAACAAAGAAAGCAAAAGCACTCACTTTGCCATGAGGGAAAAGGCCTCAGAGCAGACAGTGGGGCAGGGGACCAGTCGCATCAGGATGTGCCCCAGTGCAGCGGGGAAGTGGGCCCGTGTCACCTTCTCAAAAACTGAGGCAAAGGTGTTGATGTCGGCCACCTTGCCGCTGGGCTCGCCTCCTCCTGTGTCCAAGATGTTGCCCCCGTGAAGAACAAGGATCAGGACGTGTGTTTTGCAGTTCTGCTGCTGACTCCCTTCCTGAAGAAGAAGCACAACCAATAGTGGATCTGCAGCAGGGCAAAGATTCGGGGTGCGGGGGGTCGAAGCCAATCTGTGGAAGCTAAGCCAACTCCGCAAGAGTGGGGCGCTGCTGGATGGTTTGCCAAGGGGTGTTTGTGGGGAAGAACCATCGCCCTGATCAGATTTTGGGAAAATCGTGTATGGGACAGCAGGGGATGATGGGAAATGTGGCACACTGGAGTGCATGAGAGCTCTTCCTCCAGGAAAGCAGCTGCCATACACACTACCGCACTGCAACACAACTCTTTGGGACAGCGCTGCCAAGGCCACCTGCATGAGCTCTCCTCTCCTTCCATGAGGCATAATCAGCCAAGACCTGCAGCACACCCCTTGCAGGGCCCCAGGCAGCTGGTCCCAAGCACGCTTGCCTCACCTCGTTGTCCTCGTGGACCTCCATGCTGCCTTGCGCAGGGTACCGGTGCTTCCTCAGAGAAGCCCTGTATAATTCTCCTGGAAAAAGAAAGGCGGAGAGAGACAGAAACTTTGCGGGAAATCATTCCTTCCCCTTCTAGGTGCCCCAGATCCCTGTCCCGTGGGCCACTGCATTTCTGTTCACGGCAGCCTTCGTTAGGGCCAGGATCCAAATGACCGTGCACCATGCCTGTTGTTCCATTATCCCCACTAGATGGGGTGGTTAAGGCAGACCCTCAGGCCAAAGCCCCATTTCCGCCACTGGTGAGCACCCAGAGAGTTGCAGGAGACGAGGCGGCATCAACACCAACAGCCTGGCTGACACCAATTCCCCCTTTAGTTAGGCAAGTTTTTTAAAAGTTTCATAGTGGGGGACATGAACACGTTATAAATACTCCATTTTCTGGTTTAAAATAATATACTCCCTGTCTTTCCAACGAAACGGTGCTGGTACCCAAGCAAACATGTTCAGCATCAGGACAGCAGACACGAACGCCTTTTATCCTCATACTCACGGGGGAGCAGACATTCATTTATTTAAAGTTTTTCTATCCCGCCCTCTACAGTGTCTTAAACTAACTTAGCCACAGTGCACGTGTGTTTAAAAGGAACAGCTGCCCATGTTCAGGGTTACTTTCTTTTGCTTTGCTTTTACATCAGTGCTGGCCCACTCATCTAAGGTACCAGCAGAGTTTGCTTCACAGGAGAGGCCATGGGCAGAGACATCCGGAGACTCCTGCCTGCCATCAGGCCACCATGTCCAGGAGCTGAGATGGCCTTGGGAGGTCTGGGGGTTGGCTGGCAGGAATGGAACCCTTTCCCACCACCAGGGCAGTGCCAAGTCCTGCTGAAAAACTCAGAAGAAAGGCCTGGCCCCTTTCCTTCCAACAGAACATTCAGACGCTCCGACACAAGACTGAGTCACCCGTCAGAGTGAACGGAGGGAAGATCCCCAGCCCTTCTGCATTGGCTGACTTGTCTTGTCTATCAAGGGAGCAGAGGAGTAAATTGTAAAGGGATCTCCCCAAACAGAGGAAATCACAGAGACAGTTTTGCACTCCAGGCAGTCCCTGACCTCAAGTGCCCCCAAATGCACCTGCAGATAACAACTGCTGTCATCACAAATGTTCATCAGAGGAGGTCCCGGCTGTGGAAAAACACCCACGCCACTGAAAGGCAGCTGCACTCTCATGGGAGGCCTCTCCGACTCCAAAAGACAAGAAGCCCGACAGGACTGGAAGCAGAACGTGCTGTGGGGCTTCTCCTTGATTAAAAAAAAACCCTCCCTGGAAATGAGGCTATGTAGAGTCAGCTTGGGTGTCCTGGTTTGGGTAGAAAGCTCCACAATGTTCCCTCTAGCATCAGGGCAAGGGTGGCACTGATCTGACAAAATCCAGCTCTAAACGTTTGCCACCGAAAGGCCTTAGCAGATTAAAAAATAATTCCTATTTGTTAGCTGAGCATCAGGACGAATTCTCACAAGCAGACTGTTTTTAAGGAAAACACGACGCTTACGTTGCTTTTCCTGCAGAACGCCAGACGAGCAGAACATGGGCTCTTCACCTGCCAAAGGGAGCAAGAGGAGCCAGGTCAGCATTACGGGGCTGAAGTCCCCACACCCTCCACTGCCTGCCCTCCCCAGTGTTTTTGGCTACCTCTGGCCCCCAGCTCCCATGCCCACCCCACCAGCCCCCAGTAGCTGCATCCTTGAAGGCCACTAAATTATATGAATTGCCATCAGAACACAAAAAGGAGGGGAAGGATCATGGAGACTGTGGCTAAACACGACCAGATGGGAACCTTCCTCCCCTCTCTCACAGCACTCAAATGCAGGGCAGCTGGTTCCAGCCAGGCAACTTGAAGTAGGACAAGCCTTGGTCAGTGGCCGGGGTCTTAGGTAGCTTTCAAAGGCAACGGACACATTTGGAAAGATCAGCCGAGTTTTTTGCCCCACTGGAACTTTTGCACAGAAGGCAACTGGGCAGCTCAAGATCTGCCGGGATTGTGCAAGTGGCATCCCTCTTCTGTGCATGGCACAGCTGCAGATGGCCACACTGGGCAGGGAGAAGATTGACCCCTGGGAGCGATGCCTGGCCCGGCCACAAGCACAGCCCCCTTCCACACCCTGCAGCTATTCCTTGGATGGCTGTGCCTGATGAAGAAGGCTGCTGGTTGTGCAGCCAGGGGGGTGTGAGCATCCATGGACTGTCTCTTGGACCAGGCCAAGCATGAGAAGAAGCCTGTAGATGCAAGAGGGGTGGCGTCCAAAAGGATTTGTCCAAACCTTGTCGCAGACCAGCAGAACTGGAGTCTGCAGTGCACAGATCCCGCCTCTCCAGCCTTACATCCTTCAAAAGGACTGCTGTGCTGGCTGGAAACGCTCGGAACTGCACTCCAAATCATCTGTTGGGGTGGCCGTTCCAACAGGTTGGTGCTTGCAGAAAACATGAAGACTTAACAGCTGGTCCGCCAGGGCTCAGTCCTGGGACCTATCCTGTTCCATCTCTTCATCAATGACCTGGAAGAGGGGGTGAGCAGTCTGCTGATCAAATTCGCAGACGATACTAAAACTGGAGCAGTGCCCAAAATTAAGGAGCAGGGTAGTCTGGATCCAGAAGGATCTGGACAGATTACGGAAGTGGGCAGGAGACAACAGGATGGCGTTCAACGTGGATAAGTGCAAGGTCTTGCACTTGGGGCATAGGAATGGGTGTCATAAGTGCAGGTCAGGGGACAAGTGGCTGGAGAGCAGCACTTGCGAAAGGGACCTCGGGGTGCTGGTTGACTGCAGGCTGAACATGGGTCAGCAGTGTGATGCGGTGGTCAAGAGGGCGAGCACCACCCTTGGTTGCACAGCCAGAAGTGTGGCTTCTAGATCAAGAGAGGTATTACTACCACTCTGCATGACTCTGGTGCACCCACAACTGGAGTATTGTGTTCACTTCTGGGCCCCTCATTACAGGAAGGATATAGCCAGGTTTGGCTTCAGCTCATCGCCACATTTAAAATGCTTTGTGAAACAAAATTTCCACAATACGGATGCAGAACAAGAGGATATTATGTGGCACACATGACTGAAACAGTTAATGAAAACTATGTTGCCCTTGTTGTTGTTCCCTGTGAGTTTGGCACAGGTGGATCCTGGACTATTCAGCAGCTGGTGGTTAGAAGGAGAACCAGAGACGTCTCTTTGCGTGGCAGAAAAGTGCCAGTATTTCCTGGCCCACGGATATGCTGGAGGGGCCGTGCAGGGTCTTGGGGCCAGTGCACCCTGGTGTGTGTGTCTGTGTGTGAGAGGCTGGAGGAAGACTTGCCTATTTGTGCAGAGAAGTGGCCTCAATTATTTGCAATTTAACCATGGTGTCTTGAACCACGCGTTGCCTCTTTGGCGTCTCTACCGGCTTCTCACAGATGGGGGCGGCAGCCAGAGTGTCCACAAACATGAAGTCCGGCAGAGGCACACCAACGTGAAGGAAGCATGGCTGGGGGGCACCTCTTAAGTGACTGGTGTGGATGATGGGTCTGGCTCAGACAGCACCCACAATATTCCTGCCACACCAGGCAATTGGCTTCCCCCCCCCCCCCGTCCCCCCCCCGGGCCCCCCCCCCCCCGCCCAAGTTTAGACGCAGAATGGAGTTTGACCCTTGGACATGGGGCAAGCCAGCCCAGTACCTTGGCTGTCTTCCAGCTTCCCAATGGTCTCAATCTGCTCCACCAGGTCATTGGAGTTCCACTGGCTCATCCCCAGGAGAATGGCGTTCTTGCTTTCCACCACCTCCTCTGCAGCAAGAGGGAACAGTTGTCATTCTGACAGCAAACCAAAAGACCTCCGCACCAGCGACCGAGGCTGCCTGAGCTGGCAGAAGAGCCAGTGACCACAGGCCTCCAGGGGAGCTCGCGATGGCCCGCTCGCTGCCCTGGCCCCCGCGTGCGGAAACGAGTCTCCTTTCCCAGTCCCAAGGACAGGCAGCCTGGCGACTCAGGAGATGTGGCGCTGGAGGTGCCCGAATGCCATGCCACCCTCCCAGCGCCTGTCTGCCAAGGCAACTGATTCCACGAAAGACCCGTAGGGCTTTGGTCCCTCAAGAGCCTGCTCCAGAGAGGAGGAGGCGAATGAATCTGCTTCAGCGCAAAGGACAGCGAGGGCTGGCCCACGGCCGACCAGCTCCCAAGAGACCTGTTCTCCCCTGCAGAGGAAGGCAGAACGCGCTCCAATGGAGGAAAGCTCAGGGAGCCAAGGTTGCGTTTAGATGCCAGGAGGCACTTCCTGACAGTCAGGACCCTGAGGACGTGGAATGGGCTTCCATGCAAGGTCGTTGAGGCCCCACTGGTGAGGGTGTTCAGAGATTTATTTATTTATTTAGAATTTTTGTATGCATTGCATAGCCTCGGGACAGCTTACATAAAATAAATAAACATAATACAAATAAAATCCAGATTCACCCTGGCTGCAAATTAAAATCTATAGATGATATTAAAAGTTATTAAAATATTGTTGAAATAAAAAGGTCTTAGCCTGGCGCCAAAACACAAATGACGATGGCGCCAGGCAGACCTCTCTGGGGAGCACATTCCAGAGACAGGGCGCCACCGCAGAGAAGGCCCTCCTCCGGGTACTTTGCCTCCTGCTGTCTCTCACAGGGGGCTCCCGGAGGAGGGCCTCTGCTGCCAATCTCAGGGGGTGGGAGGGCAAATATGGAAGAAGGCGTTCCTTTAGGTATCCAGGTCCCAAGCCGTTAAGGGCTTTATAGGTAATAACCAGCACCTCAAATTGAGCCCGGACGTCAATGGGAAGCCAGTGAAGCTGGTAGAGGACTGGGGTTATGTGAGAATAATGCCCAGTCCCCGTCAGCAACCTGGCCGCTCTATTTTGCACCATCTGAAGTATCTGGACTGTCTTCAAGGGCAGCCCCATGTAGAGCTCATTGTAGAAATCCAACCGGGAAGTAACCAATGCATGTGTCACTGTCACTAGGCAGCCGTCCTCCAGGTAGGGACGCAGCTGATGGATTAACTGAAGCTGAAGGAAAGCGCTCCTCGCCACTGCTGACACTTGAGCTTCCAGGGACAGCTCCGGGTCGAGGAGCACTCCCAAGCTGCGGACCTTGTCCCTAAGAGGGAGTGCAACCCCATCCAGGGCAAGGTCCAAGTCACCTACCCAGGAGCTCGATCCACCCACCAGCAGGACCTCCATCTTGTCTGGACTGAGTTCCAGTTTATTGGCCCTCATCCAGCCCATTAGCTCAGCCAGGAACCGGTTCAGTACAGCCACTGCCTCACCTGGATCGGTTGAAAACGAGAGGTAGAGCTGGGTATCAGCAGCATACTGGTGATTCCGCAGCCCACACCGCCTGATGACCTCTCCCAGCGGTTTCATGTAGATGTTGAATAGCAAGGGGGACAAAATGGACCCCTGCGGAACTCCCTGGCAGAGCTGCCATGGCGCTGGACACGCACATGGCGGGCATGTCGTTAGCGGAGCCGGCTGGTGCTGGAGGTCAGACTAGATGGCCCGGGAGACCCCTTCTTACCCACTCTGTTTCTATGTTTCTAACATCACATAGTATAGCAAACCTCGTGCATCGAAGAACTCGTCATCGGAGCTGTCCACGGAGTCGCTGAGGATGCCTTGCATGGGCCACTGGGACCCGTATTGGCGCAGCCTCCCTGCGAAAGGGGAGAGTGAGAGCGGTGTGAGCAACTAGAGCGAGGCTGCAACCAGGAGTCCAACGCAGCTTCTCAGCTGATTAAGCCATTGCTCAGTTGGTCAGCAGAGCTTGCTTTCCAGTAGGCATTTTAATGTCACATGCTTCAAAATACTGCAGAAGGAAGATGGTGCCGTCTTTTAATCGCATGGCTTTAACTCTATTTATATTACCTTTCTACCTGCCGAGAGCCCAGAGTGGCTGCAGATGCCTCCTCCTCCCCCTGGTGACCTTGCATCAGCCCCAGGAGGCAGGTGACACGCAGGGGCAACACCTGGTCCTCAGGCACCCAGTGAGCTCGGGGGCTGCGTGAGGCGCTGAGCCGGACCCTGCCCCTCTCCCTCGCCACCGTGCGTGTTGCAAAGGAGAGACAGGTGGCTCTGCTCAGCTGGCGGCACCCAGAAGCCCATGGTTGGAGCCCATGAACAGGCACACTGCTCAGTTGCCCCTGGGAGGGCACTCGAGGGCTCCTAGAATTTGGGGGGGGGGCCTCCTTTGGCACTGCAGACACGTAGAAACCTCCTCCAGGAGTTGTCCCTGGCCAGCAAGCCCCCAGGAGCTACAGCTCAATGCCACTGGAGGCACCAGGCTCAGGCAGGCAGGCGCACGGCACCTTCCCATGAGCCTGGCAGTGCCAGAGAGCTGTGCGTCTCCCCGGTCCTTGCCCTGCTCCCAGACCAGCCGTCCCGGAGAGCCCCGAGAAGGAAGCGGCCAGTTCAAAGCCCCTGGGCTGGCCGGACAGCGGATGCCTCTTACACGCTGACCCTCCTCCTTGCTCCTGCCTTTCCCACACAACCCTCCCCTCCCCCCATGCACACAGGTGCATTCAACCTGCACGTTGGCCACTGTTCTTCCCTTGGCTGCCCCCGTCATCCGTCCCACTAAACCCATTTCTTGCACACATCCTTTCCCTGCACCCCCCATCACAGGCCATGGTTTCCTAAACACTTGCTAATTATGGCCCACGGATGAGCAGGCACTCAAGCTGGGAATGTCAGCCCCTCAGCTGCATTAAATAAAGTCCACTTAGTGCCAAGGGCTCCCAACCACACAAACAGCCCTCTCAAAATTAAGCTGGCCCAGTTAATTGGGTGCTGGAGGCAATTAGGCCAACTGGCACCGCCCTGAGGATCTGTGTGTTCCGCAGTTTTCGGGGCATCTGCATTTCAAGCCGCCCATGCCAGATGCTGGAGCTGCTTGCCTCCGCTGCCAGCGTGGCACGGCTGGGGTGCAGAACATTGCTGGCCAAGGGAAGCGGCTGACCCTGAGCGGTAGGGAGGTTCCAGGAGCTCCACGGCAGCCCCTGGACAGCAGGGCAGTTGGCCTCCTGCCGGCCCTAAGCGCCTTGAAGTGGGGTCAGAGCAGCCCCCACTTCACCCGGCTCTGCCAGTGGCTGCACAGGTGCCTCAGGGAAGCCCAGCAAGAGGGCCTGGAGACCCCCAGCCTGCTGGCACTCCTCCACAGTCTGACGTGCAGAGACGGATTTCAAGAGAAGCTCGAAGGTCCCCTTAGCTTCCCCAGCAACTGGCATTCATAGACTCCATCATCTTCAGGGGCTCTTCTCATCCAGGTTTAGACACACCTCAGCCAGGGGGACTCCGCTTACTCCAGACTCTGTGCACCCTGGAGGACCCCAAGATGAAGGAGTCCGTTGCACACCTTGTACACGGTTGCTTCCATTGTGACACTGATGGAGAGGGCACAAGGCAGACTGGAAGAGGCAGGAGAGGAAGGCAGCGAAGCGTGGCTGCGGGGAGAACTTAGCACTGGACTGGAGGAGTCTATGAATCACAGAATCCTAGAATAGCAGAGCTGGGAGGGGCCACTGGGCCACCAGATCCATCCCCCACTGTTGCACCATCCCACTCAGAGGGCTTTCCAGGCGCTTTCTGAATGTCTCCAGTGAGGAAGAGCCCACCGCTTCCCCAGGCAACCGGTTCTGCTGTCATGCTGCTCTGACAGTCAGGAAATTCTTCCTGGTCTCAGTCTGGCTTCTTTTAACTTCAGTCCTTCATTCCATGTCCTGCACTTGGGACTGAATGAGAAGAGATCCTGTCCTTCCCTCTTGTGACAGCCTTTCATTTGAGCTTCAACAGGACGGCGTTCCATGCAGATAAGTGCAAGGTCTTGCACTTGGGGCATAGGAATGGGTGTCATAAGTACAGGTTAGGGGACAAGCGGCTGGAGAGCAGCACTTGTGAAAGGGACCTCGGGGTGCTGGTCGACTGCAGGCTGAACATGAGCCAGCAGGGTGATGCAGTGGCCAAGAGGGCGAGCGCCACCCTTGGTTGCATAGCCAGAAGCGTGGCTTCTAGATCAAGAGAAGTGTTGCTGCCACTCTATGCGACTCTGGTGCGCCTGCAACTGGAGTAGTGTGTTCCGTTCTGATTTAATGCAAATCAACTGGTGTGGGTGTTTGGGGGCACTTACTTATTCCTGCCTTAGTGTTTCCTTTTATTTTTTAAAATGTGACCTTGCCTGCTGGGGAACCCACGTCTCTTGCATTAGGGACAGGCTGAGGACCAGCTAAGGATCACCACTTAATTCACAGAAATTGAATCAGTCGCAAATGGCTTGTTGAATGAAAAGCCAGATGTTGGTTTTAATTAAGCCAAAGTGGGAGAACATGAGAGAAATGCCTTGCAGCCAGAAGGGAAAGCAAGGCAGATGCAGCCGGAAGGACAGGGGAGGCATGGGCAGGAGAGAGGGAAGCAGCTGGCACCTTAGAGGCGAAGGCGATGCGGTCTGCGTGCGCTCAGATGCACCCATATCTACATTGTTACATCACACATTATATCGCTAAGCCCCCAAGAACCTTTCAGCCCTGGTGTGACCCGGTCCAAATGCTGAAGCCAGGAGTGAAAAGAGCCAAGTGGACACCCATGCGGCTGCTCCGCACGCCCACAGGCCTCAGACGTAAGATGCCGTCGACAGCAGCCCCTGGAAACCCGTGGGAAGTGGGGGCAGTTCCACACAGACGCGATGAGTGGAAATAGGGCCCTACACACCCGGGAAGCTGGAGCTGTCCCTGCCGAAGCCTTTGAAATGACAAGAAAATGTCCACAGTCTGACAACAATCCCCAAACTTCTTTAGGAAAGTCCCTAACACAAAGACAAGCTCTGAGGCTAGCACAAAGCCCAGCTTCCACAGACGGGTTGTCTGGCCACCTGAAGGCTGGCGCAGAGGCCCCGGCTCCCAAAACCCCATGGAAATGTGGGGCAGGCCAGGCCAGGCAGCTTCTACCTTTGACCTTTCATGACTGATACTTAACAAAAAGCTCTCCTGAGTCCATGAAGGCCATGGAGATTTGGATTTATTCAATCTAACCGAGCCAGGTGGCTTTCTTTTAGGCCTTGGAGGGTGTGCATTCGGGCAGCCTGGGTGTGCAAAGCAAAAATGGAAAAAGAAGGACACGCACGGGCTGCGCTCATGAAGCCCCGGGGCAGCCTCCTGCCAGCCTTGTGGAGACCCAGTCTGGAGACTTCAGCGTGCCAGGCAGCACTCTGAATGGCGCTCCTCCTCCTCCTCCTCCTCATGGGGGCATGGACGGGGCCCTGCACTGGTTTAAAATAATTCCAATTGCCTGCAAGGATTAAGAACAATCAACAGACAGCCACGCGTAATCCCGCCGGATACGCTCCAGTCCTGCTCTTGCAACATGTTGCAAGAAGCAGCACCAGGAGGAGGAAAATCGCCCAGATGGGGAGATCACAAAAACACAGTCTCCTTTATCTGGCCCACAGAAGGAAACAGCCCAGAGCAGAAGGGATGACGAAGAGGCAAGCAGCTACGCAACACGTCATTTATTTGGTTTCATTCCTATGCTGCTCCCCGGGTGGTTCACTAAAGCACAACAAGCTAAAAATAGACATGTTCAAAACAGCAGCTTCCAGCTAAAATTGGCGGAAGGGGAGGCCTGCCCTGCACGACTCAGCCTGGAATGTGACCCCTGAGCGTGATTCTGCAGTGGCATCTGGCCCCGGGCTGGAAGAGTTGGTGTGCCTGGTCTCTGGCTTCCAGGGACCGTGTGCTGCCCACCCCAGCCCACGAAAGCAAGAGGCTTTCCCTGCCCAGAGGCATCTCTGGTGAGCAGGCTCTGCCTTCTTCTCCATAAGGAGGCCTCCTGGGCTGCAGCAGAGGTCAGGGCTGCCAGTTCTGGGAGCATTACTGGTTGCACCACTCGGACCGGTGGAGGAGGTTCTGGTCAGCCTGTAGGCAGGTTGCTGTGGGCACTAGGCCTCCTCTCGTGGCTGGCCCTTTGGTACCCTTCTGGCAGTGTGGGCTCTGACAGGCAGGCACCAGTGTTGCTCTGGGGGCACTGCAGGTGGGTGAGGAATCCACGTCCTCAGATCCCCTCGGCTCGGCTCCCAGACTCCAGCCCACTTGGCACCAGCCTTGAGCCCATCCCCAGCGAGTGTGCTCAGCCTTCACAGGGTGCATTCGCACGCGGGATGCAAGAGGCACAGCCACACAGCGGCCGTCCTGCACCCGCCCCCACAATCACTGCTGGACAAGCCAAGAGCCGCCTGCTTCCGGTGTTCTCCATTATGTCTGGACAGCTGCTTCAGAGGCACTGAAGAAATCACCTGTGTGAAAAACTCTTGACAGGCACTATTTCTGGACTCTGGCCATTTACTTTCCCAAGAGAGCACCCAACGCTTTTCATGCTTGGAAAACTGAAGCCTGATTAGTGATGAGGAACAAACACTGTTCTCAAACTGATGGGAAAAGCCAAGCACTGGGGAAGAACTGTGCCAGCCAAGCGCTTAATCACAAGAAAAGAAGGAAAGAAGGGTTTGGACATGCCCGAGACTTTATCCATGGGGACTGCAAACTAACTGGGCATGGGCAATGGAGAGAAAGGATGTTGCTAAATCAGGCAGGTCTCATTTGCCATTTCTCAGGATCCTGGCAGGTTTCAGCAGTGCAAATAAGATTCACACAACTTA